TAACACTTAATGTGATCATAACATCACACGTACTACTGTTGATAACATCACACGCACAACTGTTGATAACTTCACGTGTTCAACTGTTGATAACATCATACGTTCAACTGTTGATAACATCAAAGTTCAACCATTGATAACATTACACATTCAACTGTTGATAACATCAAACGTTCAACTGTTGACGATGTTTTAATCATATGAACATAAAAGCTACTATCTTAAAGACAACTCTTCAACCATTATTGTACAACGAATTGTGAAGAACACCGAAGTTTCGCCCCTTTGGTCTCCAAAAAAAAAATTAACTGATTGATTACCACCAAAAAAAAAAAAGTTTAATTTATTTGAAAGGGTGAAAGTTTGAAGCATACTCAACAAATAAATAACTTTGAACTGGTCAATGGTTCAATTTTTTTTCTATTTTTTTTTTTTTTTGTAAAATAAAATTTTGAATTCATGTAACACACAGGACACAACGTCCTCTCCAACCCGCCTGAGTGGGGACGAACAACCTGTTCGTCTGTCGCAACCACAATACAAGAACAACCGTCGACAACCCGACAATAGTGAAAGCGGATGAAAAACACCGGCCTCACCCCGGTACCAACCGACCCTGTCAAAGGCCGACCGTGACAAGTATCGAAACTAGCCTTTCCCTGGTCGGCGGGCAGGACACAACAGGACACAACAGGACACAATAGGACATGACAAACACAGGATAGAACTCACCACTTACAAAATAATACCCCTGAATCCAAGCTCATCATTTTATCTGATTCATTTAAATATTTCAATTTTTTTTTCTAGTTCATTCTTTTCAAAATCAGAATGATAATTTTTTTTGTAAAAAAAAAAAGACCAGCTTTGAAACATCAGCGCGGCTTTATAAATGTCTCAAATAGAGATCGACCACAATAGATGGGGGAACCGACAATCAAGGGAAACAAACGCGATCTTGTAAGGAGAGTGAAAGAGAGAAAAAGGGGCGACAACTTTTACCACCGGACACGTATTTTTTGGCCTTGTTGGCCTCGGTTGTCAAGTCAGTGGTCCCGTTGTGGGGCTGACACTGGTGATTGTTTGCTAGGAAATGATAGGCCGGCATTAACCCTTTGCCTTCTGCTAACTGGTGGCCTCGGTGATAATGATAATAATAAAATAATGTGTTTGCTGTTGTGTTATAGAGCGTGATTTGATGAGACTTTTAACACCCCATCCCCACCCCCCACCTCTTCCGTCCTGTGTGTGTTCCTGTTGGAGGTCGAAGAAGTAAAAAAAATCAAACGGTTTCTTTAAAAAAAAATTCAATTATTTTTATTCCTCTTCTTCAAGAGGTCTAAATTTCAACAAATAGAATGGAGATTTTTAATTCAACGTTTTATTTAAAAAAAAAAACAATCTTCATTGTTATTGTCCTTCTTAATTCAATCAAAGCTAAACACCACTTCGATAACACTTACCTAAATCTATGGACCTAACACATATTTAAGCATACGGACATAATCAGATACCTAAGCCTGGAGCTTTTGTTTACATGACAATGAGCAATGAATGTCGAACAATGATCATCATAAATTTCATCAATCACACACACACACACACGCACACACACTCACTCACTCACTCAAAACCACATCTTTTCCACACAAAAAATCCTTTAAATAATCCCCCCCCCCTCCCAAAAAAGAATGTCTTGAAGATTGGTTGAACAACCCGACCAAGCCCCCAAATGACGTGCATTAGTGAATTTCTTGAATTGAATTTTTCAGGACAGCATCCATCTCTAGTGATCTCCCCAGCTCAAACTGTCACCACCCCACCACCCCACCACCCTACCACGCCCTATTTCCCTTTACACCTCCCCCCTCCCACATCCCACCCTCACCATCTGGTTCTCCATCCCCTCAGCGCAATATTAAACAATGACGTCACGATTTCAACTAGATCTTCTGCTCCACGCATCTTTAACCCAAATGTGCACGTTGACGTCACGTTCCAATGATCACGTGGTTTGCTCTTTAAGACTTTTAAAACAATCTTCGACCCTTGTCTTTGTTGTCTATTAAATCCCCCTCCCCACATCCATCTCCCCCCCCCCCCCCCTTCTCTTAAATCCCATCCACAAACGGATCTTCTTAGTCTGCTCATCTCGTCATAATCAGAAATCTGACTCTGGCACCGCGGGGCTGAGATATGTCGTGTATAGCGTCGTTCACTCCATCAGCTTCTCACACTACCCCCCCCCCTCCTCTACTCATCCCGACCCCCCGGCTCTTAGTGTGTGAATGTTTCAATTAAATCAAGAACCGCCGGGTCAAAGGGTGACGATATTTTATCTCACCTGGAGAGGTGGCGCCCCCCGGGCACGGGTGGTTGACCCGGTGATGAGGTGTGCTGATACCAAAAGACGCGAGGTGGGTAAGGGTGGGGGTAAGATGAGCACTCACTGTCGGGGTGTGTGTGGGGGGGGGGGGGGGGGAGGGCGATTTGGGGATGTGCTGGACACGAACTCGTACTGTGTGACTGCTGACTGACGTTACATTCTGTTGTTGACAACACAAAATACACCAGGTCACATTTTAAAAACAAAAACAAATAAAACCAAATTTACTTAATATCAAAAGCGTTTTCCTAAAAACTGTAAAATACCCGCTTCACATTACATTTCAACACGCTTATGTAACCTTTATCACACTGTACACCAAGATGTCACCTTTATCACACTGTACACCAAAATGTCACCTTACGTCACGTATACTATCACATATATTATGCACTAATACTATGGCACCGTGTAGCACCTAGATTCCATACAATGTGACTACTAGTACCACAATTCCTGCACTTTGGATATTCAAATCTTTTAATGACTGAATTAGACAGGTAGTTGTATTAGATAGAGACTGTCTTTGACATTTTCCCGTATTAATGGATGTCTTAGACAGGTGGTTGTATTAATAACTATCTTAGAGATTAACCTGTATTAGAAACGATCTTATACATCTACCTGTATTAGCAGAGGCGTATCCAGGTTTTCGTTGTAGGGGGAGCGGAAATAGCAAAAAAGGCGCCGAATTTGTAATATTTTATATATATATATATATATATATATATATATATATATATATATATATATATATATATATATATATATATATATCTATATATATATATATATATATATATATATATATATATATATATATATATATATATATATATAAAAGCTGTATGTTATTGCTTGGATGTGATGTAAAATAAAATTTAAATTAGCACTCTGAAGAAATTGAAAAAAAAAACACACAATGTAGGCCGACGAGACAAATAAATATGGTATCACTCTAAACACACACACACACACACACACATATATATATATATATATATATATATATATATATATATATATATATATATATATATGTATAAACATACTACAACCAAAAACAATAAACGCGGCATAATCTGTTTCGAAATTCTTGTAAAAAAAATTACATAATAATTCTTGGGACATGTGTTAAGACTAATGAAAAGGGGAAATAATCAATATCTTAATATAAATATGTATATGTCTACGCATTTTATTGTAAATATCAAAACAAAGCAATAATTACTTTTGAATCTAATAAAGTAGCTTAGCACTATTCGTTTTTACAAAAATATTTTGTCTACAATCAGAATTAAATATATTGTCATTATAAATGCTCAAGTGATACAGCATAATGAAAGTTTTTTTAAATCAGAGTTGGTATAAAAAGCCAGCTTTTCAATAGAATAGTAAAACGATCGGAATGATAGCCTATGTGTAATTAATATATCGGTCTTACAATTCAGCTTATGCACTTTTTAATAAGCTACTGACTTTTTGTGTTCTTTAAAGATAAAAAATAATGAGAAGATATGGGTTAGATCACTGTATTGCTCACACATCTTTTACTGGTAATTGAAAAAAAAAACAATATTCACAGAGATTTACGTTTCAAATGTGCCGACCAAAGATAATTTTTTAACAAATATCAATGTTTAAAACTTTGAGTTTAAAAAGTTTCCAAAAAGGCGCCACTTTGCTAAAAATGACCAGAGGGGGAGCGGCCGCTCCCCCTGCTCCCCCCCTGCGTACGCTACTGTGTATTAGAGACTTTCTTAGACATTTACCTGTGTTAGTGAATGTCTTAAACAGGTGGCTTTATTAGAAGTTGTCTTAGACATTTAATTACTTGTTTTAGATAATACTTTAAACAGTAGATGCGTTACAGAATTCTTACACAGGTAGCTTTATTATAGTTTGTCTTACACAGGTATCTACCCAGAGTCTGTCTTAAGAAACTGTCTAATTACTCGTCTACACCTATTGTGCATTGTCTGGTCTATTTTCTACTCCTGGTTATTCTACTAATTTCTCATTGTTTGAACTAGCATAAACTACCCACCCTCTACGTCACCACAGTGTTAAGTTTGTGTGTGTTTATCCACAGTGTTAAGTTTGTGTGTGTTTATCCACAGTGTTAAGTTTGTGTGTGTTTATCCACAGTATTAAGTTTGTGTGTGTTTTTTATCCACAGTGTTAAGTTTGTGTGTGTTTATCCACAGTGTTAAGTTTGTGTGTGTTTTTTATCCACAGTGTTAAGTTTGTGTGTGTTTTTTATCCACAGTGTTAAGTTTGTGTGTGTTTATCCACAGTGTTAAGTTTGTGTGTGTTTATCCACAGTGTTAAGTTTGTGTGTGTTTATCCACAGTGTTAAGTTTGTGTGTGTTTATCCACAGTGTTAAGTTTGTGTGTGTTTATCCACAGTGTTAAGTTTGTGTGTGTTTTTTATCCACAGTGTTAAGTTTGTGTGTGTTTATCCACAGTGTTAAGTTTGTGTGTGTTTTTTATCCACAGTGTTAAGTTTGTGTGTGTTTTTTATCCACAGTGTTAAGTTTTTGTGTGTTTATCCACAGTGTTAAGTTTGTGTATGTTTATCCACAGTGTTAAGTTTGTGTGTGTTTATCCACAGCGCCCGGCCAGGCCGCCCCCCAAAACGAGTACATTCCACTAATCCAGTGGATAACGACGTCCTGGAGAAACTAAAGAGACGGAAGCTGGATATCCCGGGGGAGTATCCATACGACCAGAGGTTTTACGGTACGTTTCCGCTCACCCCACTAATCCACACACCATTGTTTTCTTTAACCCGCTGTAACAAGTCTATGGACAACATTTTTGTCTGCACCCACACTACTGTAATCCATTCAAAAGTTGAGCTTATCAACACCTAGATCACTGCAATAGCTGCGATAATCTCCCCTTATTAAAACCCCAAACACGGACTAATTACTAATTTATGCATAGGCGTAATTTATTTTTACTATAATATCTGGTTCTATTTAAATCCTGCTTGAACTAGGTACCCCCACCATCCCCCATCCACCCCCACCCCCAACCTTATGGTATGTCGATACCCAAGAAAAATGATTCAGCGGAAATATTTTTTTAACTTCTCTAATATGTAGCTGACTAACATTCACACTGGAAGGGGCGGTAATTAAATTCCCATCGTTGGAGCGGAGTTCTCTGCCCGTGGCTGTCTATTAGCAAATATAAACCTTGGCTGGGTACCAACGCAAATACAGGAGGTTGTCGGGCATAACTTCCCGGCTAATATAACCGGCTAATTACCGCAGAGAGGAGCTGTGATCTCAAACAAATAAATACACAAATAAATATTTATGTCCTGGTAGTTTTATAACCCCGGAGTTTTGTCAAAATGTTAAACTTGACAATTTTTTTTAGAAATGTCAAGTTGTAATTGTTCTGCAACACGGAGCGGCCAACGCCGCCTGCAAATTCCATAGCAGCATCGTCAAAGAAGCGAGACGGAACAGTAACTCTGATAAAGCCATTAGAGATTCTCGTTCTTGTTGCCCCTGATTACGGAAGTCTATAGAAAAACATATGTCTGTGGAACTAGGCCGGGAAAAAAAGTTGTTTTTCCTCATTAGCAGTCGGAGCGATGGGTAAAAACAGCCCGCTATTAGCATCGCTTATAAACACATTTGGCATATCTAGACGCTTACGACAGAAAGATAGAGATATATTTTTCCTACGGAGAAAAAACTTCGGCAAATAAACATCAAATAAAAACTTTCAAACACAAACTCAGCGAGTTTGTTCCCTTTTTTTAGCGGAACAAATCTCTTTTACACATTGATAAAATCTTTCAAGATATTCGTTTGAAAAATTGATAAAATTTATCTTGAATTTTAGACTGATCTGTAGATTGATTCTCGTTTTATATTAGACAAATATTAATTAATTTAGGTCAAAATTAATTTCAAATTCAATACAGTCAATAATATTTCCATTATGTAATTTAATCAGGTCAATTTTAAGCGTTTTTACAAGTAGTACAAGGCTTCAGTATATTATATCTTATTAAGTAAACGTTTCTGATTGATTTGGCTATCAATCTATGGACAACAGAATCTGACATCTTCTGTTTGTCAGGGTAACAAGAAAACCCTCAAACAGCAACCAAAAAACGAAACATTAGCCCATGTCTTTTTTTCAAGATCACGTTCCTACAGTCTCGCGATCTCTCGCGATAGTTTGATCTGATGTTAGCGCCAAAATATCACTTCCGGTGCGGGCTAAAACTGCATTGACGATTAACCTCAGTGATGGTGATGTCGTGTTTCTTTGAGGCTCGACCAGAACTTTGTAGACGTTTTGTTTTTCTTTTTTTTTTCTCTTTCTTCTGATGGTGCTTTGTGTGCGTTGTTTTAGTTCTTTTTTTTTTCTAGTAGCTATTTTATCAAATTTTGTGTGTTTATTTCTTTTCATTTCTTCAGTTGGTTTTTTTTTTTGTTGATGTTAAACTTGGTTATTTTTTTCAGCGTGTTTTGTTCTTTTGTTCGTCTTTGCTAGCGATTGATTCTTCCGAGTTTTCGTCACGAGGTGGGCGTACTTAAAAGTTAAAGATATAACCTTAAAAGGGGGAAAAAACGTCAATGTTGCCAAATATATTAAAAAATTATATTTTAAAATGTGTTTTATTTTATTCAAACTAGAAACAGCAATATATCAAGATTAAGTTGTTTTAATTGTGCTGTACAATATCACAACCATATTCATAAACGCAAATACGTCTATACATATATATAGGATATATATATATATATATATATATATATATATATATATATATATATATATATATATATATATATATATATATATATATATATATATATATATATATATATATATGCAGGTATGTAACAAGAGTTACAATTTGAAAACTGAAACCTAATCTAATGTGAAAGAAATTTCTGACTGTTTTTGTGCGCTCTAGAACTTCTCTAGAACAATCTTAATGCAGTGTACGAGCGTCTGCGAGGGAACGACCGGAACATGTCTCCGAGTTCCGCCTGACGTTGCCCGCGTGGGGTCACTTTTCTAAGACCTGCTTGATGACTTGCTTTGATAGAGAAACCGCTGGTTCCGGTTTGATAATTAGGCTTGCATTAAATGTAATAGTAATAGATGCTTCAGTGTGTGTGTGTGTGCGAGTGTGTGAGTGTGTGTGAGTGAGTGTGTGAGTACTGTAGGCGTGGCCTGTACCAGCCACTAGCCAGGCTGGTCGAGTGTTGGATGCACGTGGAGCGAGAGTTACATCGAGGGACGAGCAGTTATTGGTTCGGCTACTAGATCACGTGGGTTTTACTGTACATTTGTATACGTCAGTGGGATGGGTTCCTTGGATGACGTGATTGGTGACATAATCCTCTAGAGATATAATCCTAGTGACATAATCTCCTGGTGACATAATCCTCTGGTGACATAATCCCCTGGTGATATAATCCCCATGTGACATAATCCCCTTATGACATAATCCTCTGGGGACATAATCCCTCGGTGTATTAATCATAACTTCAAAAAAATTGTTTTGTCATAATGTAACTACACGCTCTCTGTGATTTACACAAGTATATACACGATAGCACGCTTTTTTTAATGCTGCAGAAATCACTTTTTTTAGTTGAGTTAAATTTACAATTTTATTTTTCTTTACCTTATTCGTACACAAATATTTACAGTGAAATGTACAATCGGAATGTTGAAAAATATTTTCAATTGTGTATTTTCAATTAGGCAATTTTAATTTGACCTTTGCACTGGATTTGTTACTAGTCTATCACGTGACGTTGAGGGTACACAGAACCCCCCCCCCCCTCCACACTTCCTCCAACACAAAAAACCATTCCACTTCCTCTCCATTTTTTATGAACATTCAAAAAATTTGAAAATCCATTTCATCGCTTGGGTCGGTCTTTAAGCGAAAATGTGTGTTTTCACCACTGGAGAGCATCTCCAGGGAGGGATAAACGTTTTGAGTCAACCCCCTGTTGTTGATCCACGGGACAGGTGAATTACGTCCCTTTGACAGCGCGCCCTGCTAGATCCATCTCTCTAGTATTGTCAGCCGCCATTCCGTCTCAGTGTCCTCGCGCGCCCGCCGCCCCGAACAATGCCAATAATATCCTCGATATCTCCCCCACCACTGATGGCTTCTCCTGTACGGCCGCCGCAGAATGAAACGGAACACTCGCTCTCGTTTTGAGAATCCTCGTTCTGTGTCTCGACATTTTTTTTCTCCCATTTTCTTTGTTTCTGGTTTTCTTGTACGTCCGCATAGCTCAGCCTCTCACCAGTACCGTCCCTCGTTCTCCGCTCGTCCTCTACCAGACAACTCACTGCCTTCGCTTCCAAGTGAATCTCACAACGCTCCAACCCTGAGCCTGGAAAACACGGAAATCTCAAAACCCTGACAATTGCTTGAAGTAAAGATGGAAAGCGATTTGTCATGTGGCGACTCAGGATTTTTATCACCATCTATCTATGACATCCTCCCTGCCTCTCCCCCTCCCTCCCTCCCGACACCGGAAGGGAACTGTTATTTGCTGAGCTTGACAAAAGAGCGCGCGTGGACCGGGCGGCAGTTTCTAGCAGAGACACACGCCTGCTGAGGCAAATTACTTGCGGAATCCGGGCATAAAGAAAGCCGGGAGGATATCTCAAAAGATGAAAGGCCGTGTAAGGAGAGCTCAGTGGCTGAGATCCCATTTTTTCCCCAGGTTTTGCCTTGGTTTGTTCGAGTGCTTTTGATCAATTGTATTTTTACATTGATATCCTCAAGAAATGTTGCACGCTTTTTATACGTCGTCTGCAGCAGTTCTGTATCAAATAAATCAAACCGTATCGTGTGCTGTGGAGAGAAAAATATCAAACTAAGGGCAGAATTTCTTTTGTTTTGTAAATACAACTCTAAAGTTTTTTTTTTAAAGCTTAAAGTTTTTTTTTTTTTTTTTTTTTTTTTTTTTTTTTTAAAGTCTTAACCCCGATTTTACTTACAAAAAAAGGAAGTGGTAAAAACATCATAATTTTTAAAATTAAAAAAAAAATTAATTTAAAAAATGAAGATTGCATTATTTATACTCTAAAGCTGGCGCATGGTGCACTAGATAAAACATCATCTAATTAATGTGTGTTCTAGCTTAGCTTTTATAATTCTTTAGTTAATTATGTGAAAGGTTTAAATGAAAAAAAATAATTAAAAAATAACAAGTTTTGTAATTAATAAATAAATTCAAATGGCAATACAAAACCAAGATAACATCGCTTTAAAAAAAATAATTTATAAAATCATACATTTCCGGGTAAAAAGGGAGACAAATACAAAACGAACCAAGAGTTATCCTGCCCACAAGATGTGGGGCCTTATGATTGTGGTAATGGCGTGCCAGACGACAGTTAGAACCCCGCCATTTTTTGTAATGACAGACGGCGAAGACACCGAAACAGAAAGTATTCGATAGCGTCATTACAAGCTGGGGACACTCCCAAGTTAGGTTAGGGTGGGGGGGGGGGGGGGGAGGGTGGACTAGTCAGGACGAAGTACTAACCAGTAATGAAAACACTAACAGGAAATGGAAATACGGCCACACAAATAAAGTTCGATAATTACTATTCAAAAAATGAGGTTATAGCCCCTTGTCAGTCGAGACAACGGTTACTGAAAAGAAAACAACATGATACGGTCAATATGAGGGCGACTATTGTACACAGGTAATGAGGGGAATAAAAATCTATTAACAGTAAAAAATACTTTTCATCTTCGAAATTATGATTGTAAAGGTTTTTTTTTTAACCCTAATGTATTTTTTTTTTAAAATTATATACCATCTCTCATCCGAAATGTTATTTCGTTAAAACGTGATTTTGTTTCTTCATGAAATATTAATATCATTGATAGTGGATATTTTACTTTCCGAAGTTTCTTGAACAAATATTTGAATTCGCTGAACCAGGTGTTACCACATCTTATGGTAGATGTTGGTCTAACTCGACCTTATTGGGAGACATAGCTGGTCAACCATACTACCATTCATATATAAAAAAAACGTAAACCCCTAATGAACCATATTTCTCCCCATAGAACGTAAACTCCTGATGAATCCTACTATTTCTCCCACAGAACGTGAACCCCTAATGAACCCTGATATTTCTTCTCAAAGAACGTAAACCCCTAATGCACCATATTTCTCCCCACAGAACCTAAACCCCTAATGAACCATTTTCTCACACAGCACCTAAACCCATAATGAACCCTACTATTTCTCCCCCAGAACGTGAACCCCTAATGAACCCTACTATTTCTCCCCACAGAACCTAAACCCCTAATGAACCCTACCATTTCTCCCCACAGAACGTAAACCCCTAATGAACCCTATTTCTCCCCACAGAACGTAAACCCCTAATGAACCCTACCATTTCTTCCCACAGAACGTAAACCCCTAATGAACCCTATTTCTCCCCACATAACGTAAACCCCTAATGAACCCTACCATTTCTCCCCACAGAACGTAAACCCCTAATGAACCCTATTTCTCCCCACAGAACGCAAACCCCTAATGAACCCTACCATTTCTCCCCACATAACGTAAACCCCTGATGAACCCTACCATTTCTCCCCACAGAACGTAAACCCCTAATGAACCCTACTATTTCTCCCCCCAGAACCTAAACCCCTAATAAATCCTATTTCTCCCCACAGAACGCAAACCCCTAATGAACCCTATTTCTCCCCACAGAACGCAAACCCCTAATGAACCCTAATTCTCCCCACATAACGTAAACCCCTAATGAACCCTATTTCTCCCCACAGAACGTAAACCCCTGATGAACGGGTTCCCTCCAGTCGGGTACCCCGCGATGCCGCAGTTCTCAAACTTCTTCAGTATGCACCACCTGATGCAGCCCATGGCGATGGCGTCACACATCGGACTCAGGCCTGACTCGGGGGTTCCCAAACTGGAGCGGACGACCTCAGATTCTGGCATCATCTCACCCAGGTAAATATCTCTTGTACAACACGTAACTATTGCCTGTATACCAGGTAACTATTGCTTGTATACCAGGTAACTATTGCTTGTATACTAGGTAACTATTGCTTGTTTAGCAGGTAACGTTTGCTTGTATAGCAGGTAATTATTGCTTGTACACATTCATCTATTATTTGTTCAATATAAATCTATTATTTGTACACAAAAAACACTTTCTTGTACACCATAAATATATTATTTGTACATCAGGTAACTATAATGAGTACACGAATTTACATTACTTACTGTAAGGTATGTATCTTAAAGACGATGGTGCCAATTATTTATGTTAAAAATCTGTTTACTAAAGATGTTCGTTAGCGATATATGTGTATATTATAGGACTTTACACGATGTCTGTACACATACAATGCCAGCAAAAAAAAACCGTTATAATCTGCTGTCCTACAGTTCCAGGAACCGCCTTCCATTTTCTCTCGATGTCTTGAAAAATTAAATTACGACCAAGCGTCACCTCTAAGACCGCCGTCTTAACACACAAGCTTTAAAAAAAAATCCACAATTGCAAACTTTACAACGAGATGTTTTTTTTTGTCCAAAAAACCACGCAGCGACCAAATTTTTTTTTTCCAAGTTTTTGTCCATGTAAATCTCAGCCATCAAGGATTTTTTTTTGTTTTAAATCTGGCTTGTATCAGTGTCCATTAAATACGGCGAAGACAAACACGTTTTTAAGGGAGTCTGGGGCAGTGTAGTGGCTCTTCACGTCGCTGATTCCGATCCTGCGAGCCTCCCATCGATTTTTTACCCTCTCCGCCTTAACCCGCCCTCCCATTTTAAAACACTAACCCAAGCTGAACACGGAAAAAAAACGAAAAAAAAAAAAAAAACTCCAGATCGCGACCATAAGCCATTTTATTTGAAAGACACAAACAAAAAAAAAAAAACAAATTCCCAGTGCGGCACTTCAAGAAACGAAAATTGAAAGTCCCCGGAGAGAGAAAAATCTTCTAATAAAAGATTTGTCTAGCGCCCTTGATATTCGAATCAAACTTTTAATTCCTCCATTTGTAGTATTTCGATTGCAAGCAAAAAGCAATATCTCTCCCTAATTGAAAGAGCCCGGAGCCTCGCTCAGCGTTATTGCTCCGACTTCTCGTTTTTTAATTTAGTCGTCTGTTTGATTTCAAAGGCCTTTCCTCGCACTGTACAGTTGGTCTCTAGCACTGATGTGACATTTCAACTCCCCACTGATGCGATATTTCGACGCCCCACCGCCCGCGGACATTCTGTGCCCTCACTTTAAAGTATTACACCGCCACTAACATGTCAATAAACTATTGTCCAAAGTTTCTTCTAGAAGCCGTTTCCGAATATTGTTTCGGATTCTAAATAAACACATGTTTTAGTTCGACTTTTTAAAAGAAGTGGCATATAAAGTATTATAAAGGCAATGCCATTATCAGTTTCTATTACACTAATCAATACATTTTATTGTTTTTAAAAAAGCAACGCGAGATGTTTAGCTTATACTAATTTTTATTTCTCATTTTTAAAAATTTAAAAATTAAAAAAAAACACACAATTAATAACTTTTTTTCTAATGACTGAGATTAATTAAAAAATATTAGATAATCAATATTAGATAAATGACTAATGGATTTTTCGAAAAGTAACCTAATATTTTAATACAGAACGAAAGCTTATTTCAAAACATGTCAATATAATCAGGGTTGCCAGATACATTCTGGACTTTGAATGTCAAAACCACGAATACCTGTTTTACACTGGCAGCCTTGTCAGATAATAATCTAAGAATATTTCCTTACAGGCCCACCTCGCAAGATTAGTTAAAGAATATTAAAGCCCCCACCTTAACATTGATTCCAATTACTTTATTTCGTCTACTGCAGTCCCAGCAATGATTAAGTTTTATATATTAGAAAAAAAAATGTATTATTGCTGTGTCAACGTAGACACACATATTTAATGTCACATACATCACGAACATAGTTGGCCTGTCCGTCTGGCCACGCCCCTCGCTTAGCACACGTACACACACAAAGGACGGGCCCAGGAAATCGATTGAACGCGACAACAAATATGGGAGTTTGAAACCTCGATTGCTCCTCGTTCTGATCAACAGCGCAACATGAGCTTGCTTGTGATGAGAGACGTAATATTTTGATGTGTGAAATAACACGCCGTGTATTTGTGTACACACTGCTTCGATGTAGGTAGACTGTGTGTCGGCAGACTCAATTAATTTATCTCATTTAAAAGTGATTATACCAACACAATAAATCAAGAGCGTGTATAATTACCATGGCAACCTCCGGATTTTACAAGGGGGGGGGGGGGGGGGGGGAGGGCTCAAACAGGCGTAATTTCTATTTATATTTACAAATATTTTTTTTAGATTTTTTTTTCTTCCCGGGGAGTGTGGGTGGACCCATGGGGATCACACAGGCTTACTTTAAAACAATTTCCTACTGGGGGTGGGGGAGGATCTTGAAACTTCCCGAGAGGGGGCACAGTGATAAAAGTATATATTTTCTATATACATTTGCAAAAAAATTTCTAATATATCCGAGGAAGTGGGAGGGAACCACACAACCCCCCCCCTTATTCCCCACTCAAGGTGCATACGCCCATGATTATACCCGATAAACGAGACGATTAGGACGTCTCTAGATAGGTTTCTTGTAGATGTTTCAAGAAGGAAATTGTCTGAAAGTAACCCTGTCAGACCCCATGGCCCCACCCATTGGTTGAGTTGGGAAGTTAAGGATGTCTCTAGCAAGGTCCCATATAGACTTCTCTATCAAGGTCCCAAAGTAGACGTCTCTAGCTAGGTCCCATGTAGATGTCTCTAGCTAGGTCCCATGTAGATGTCTCTAGCTAGGTCCCATGTAGACGTCTCTAGCTAGGTCCCATGTAGACGTCTCTAGCTAGGGCAAAATGTAGACGTCTCTAGATAGGTCCCAAGTAGACGTCTCTAGCTAGGTCCCATGTAGACGTCTCTAGCTAGGTCCCATGTAGACGTCTCTAGCTAGGTCCCATGTAGACGTCTCTAGCTAGGTCCCATGTAGACGTCTCTAGCTAGGGCAAAATGTAGACGTCTCTAGATAGGTCCCAAGTAGACGTCTCTAGCTAGGTCCCATGTAGACGTCTCTAGCTAGGTCCCATGTAGACGTCTCTAGCTAGGTCCCATGTAGACGTCTCTAGATAGGTCCCAAGTAGACGTCTCTAGCTAGGTCCCATGTAGACGTCTCTAGCTAGGTCCCATGTAGACGTCTCTAGCTAGGTCCCATGTAGACGTCTCTAGCTAGGTCCCATGTAGACGTCTCTAGCTAGGGCAAAATGTAGACGTCTCTAGATAGGTCCCAAGTAGACGTCTCTAGCTAGGTCCCATGTAGACGTCTCTAGCTAGGGCAAAATGTAGACGTCTCTAGATAGGTCCCATGTAAAAGTTTCAAGAAGAAGATTGTCTGAAAGTAACCCTATTTGACCCCCATGGCCCCTCCCACTGGTAAAGTATATATTTTATACAGATGGGATCAACTTACGAAGTGCTACGAGTTTTACACGTGTATCCTCTCCTGCTCCCACGTGCATTGTTGGTTAATTTAACAAAACGAGTCAAACTCGTGCAAACTTAGACAAACAAAATGGTTGGAATTGGATGCAAAATATCTAGGTTTTTTAGTTCTTTAACTCAAGAAATAAGTTGTTATTCTAAAATTGCCTTAGTGATTATGTGCTTCAGATATATTTCTTCTTTGATTGAGATACCATTTTTACGTAGGCAAGCAAACTAGTCTAACATGAAAGCTTAGATCAAGGCTGCTATTCAGCGTATGCTTAAAGCGTAAGTGCTAACTAGACGGTTGAGTGAATTCTGCGCAATGGGCTGTGTGATCGTGAGTTTAAAATAATGTTTGCTAAAATATTGACACTAGCATTGCAAAAAATACTCGGAAGCGAATTGTCAAACAAATTCTTGGAATGATACCACCAAAGTCCCCCCACCCCCGGGAGACTGCCTCACTACCCAGGCGGTAATGTTCCTCCCGGGGCCGGCTCTACGTAATGAGCTCAGCATCGAGTCCGCACCGGCCGACCCCCGCGCCCACGAGCGAGCGAGTACCCTGACATATGGTAAACCCAGGAACACGAAGCCCTCTGGTTTTACCATTCTAGCTCGACGTTTGTGCTTCCGTGTTCATTTAAAATGGATTATGGGCCAACTTGTAAAACGCTAATCATAACAAAAATAACTAAACGTTTGCCGAGTTTAAAAAAACAACGATTTGAATCCACGATTTCGGTGCTGGATATAATGTAAAAAATGAACATGCAATGGGATAATGCAGGAGTTTGTGAAGACAGACATGGTATTTAGACAGACATATAGACACATAATGTTAAAACAGATATACAGATATAAGGTATTAATTTTACACCCGAGCGATTCAAATGTGCAAAAACTTTAACATTTTCTGTTGCTAAAAAGAACTAATCTCAATACAGTTGTTTTGTTGAAGCATTTGAAATTTTATATTGCTAAGAGTTGAACGTATAAAGGTAAAGATTTTAAAAGTTTTACAAGGTAGTCAATATGCTTCAATGTCATGAAATACATTAGCTCAACATAAAACTCGTGTTTCTTTTAACATGCAGTTTTATTGTATAACAAAGAAAAAAAAATTATTTGCCAATGTATGAGTAGCCACAAAAAACGACAATGACACTCAAGTGCTTCCATACTCCACACTTCCATTAACCCTTTAACTGCCGGTAGAAAGAAATCATTACGGGGGCTAGAGTTAAGCAAGACACAGACTACAAGTATTGGACCAGCGGACTACCGTGCGGATAACACCTGCTCTAACACGGGACATGAAAAACATAAACTCTAGCCCTTAGCGCAATCACAGTAGTACTTAAACAACGTTTGTATGACGAAACAATTTTCAAATGATTTTTTAAAGAGCGAAAATGTGAAACAATACTAACGTATTTGTTTCGTACAGATACTAGTGTATATGATACATGTAATACAATGAACACTAGGGTTATGTAACATATAGAAATTCGATGATGGTCTTTAAAAACCAAATTATTTTTGGACGACTTTATAAATAAGACACAAGTTTGCCTGTGTTCAAAATTTAGCTATCGGCTTTCTGGCTTCATATTAATGAATTCAATGTTTACTAAACTTGTGTATGTTGAGTTAAAGTAATTTAAGAAATTATTAATTACATTGAACAATCAATAATTAATTTAAAAGGACTACCTTCTTTGTAAAACGCATTAAGATATAGATCTAGATGTAGATGGTATAAGAAAGGAGAAAGGAAAAGTTTAGGGTAGGAAATGCTTAGATAAATACTGGTGGTGTAAAAATAAAATAACTTGCTTACATCCTGTTGCAGCTCTGATTAAGACATGCACACTTCTTCATTTCACAATTAAAAAAAAAATCTTTTAAAGCTAATTACACACGCGGGATTAGTTAGGACTAGTTTATGGGTAACACTAATTAAACCTAATTAAAATCTTTGACGGCCCGATCTCAGCACCTTCCCCAGCTGGTTTGTGCGTTAGATCGGGGAGACGGCGAAACAAGATAGCTACAATTAGGACCGCTAACTCTCCTGGCTTTCCCCGACCTACGGTTCTCGCCCCTTTTCTCTTTCGCTCGCCAGTTTTCTCCCTTAGAAAACTGTTATCCATTTTCTTTTCGACGTAGCGTTTACAAATACGTTTTTTTGGAGGGGGGGGGGGGGGGGTTAGTTTTAAAAAATGGCGAAGCTTTTTATTTTTTTCCGCCGAATTTTTTTTTCCCGAATAGTGTGGAAATGTTTCCTGAGCACATAAAAAAATTAAATTTAAGGAAGGAAAAAAAAAAGGATTAAAATGGGGGATAACTGCAAGCAACATCAGGCGGCTGAAACCCCAGTATCCCATGACAGATAATTCTGGGTGTCACACAGATACGAGGGCCGGCATTCGTCAGATACCCGCACTGCTCACCATCTCCCGCACGCGCCTCCGCCGACGTGCATGCTGGCGCAAATGTCTGCCCCATGTGATTGATTGGCCATCGATACCGGCCAGGGAAGATGGACGCTGGGCTTGTTAGGATTAGGATCGGGAATCGGGGATCGGGTGAGCAGGTTCAGTGTTATGACAACGTGATGAACTAAACGGGGGAGGGGGGCGAGAGTTGGGGGTAATTCTGCACTAGCCATGCACTCATCTTTGAAAAGTGGGAATCGGCAGGATCTGTCAAAGTTTACAAGTGAGCAGCTAATAGTCAGATGCGAAGGGCAGCAGATAGTCGGACAGTGAGGGCATCAGATAGTTAATGGGGGCAGCAGATAGTTAATGGGGGCAGCAGATAGTCAGTGAGGGCAGCAGATAGTTTGTGAGGGCAGCAGATAGTTAATGGGGGCAGCAGATAGTTAATGGGGGCAGCAGATAGTCAGTGAGGGCAGCAGATAGTTTGTGAGGGCAGCAGATAGTCGGACATTGAGGGCAGCAGATAGTCGGACATTGAGGGCAGCAGATAGTCGGACAGTGAGGGCAGCAGATAGTTTGTGAGGGCAGCAGATAGTCGGACATTGAGGGCAGCAGATAGTCGGACATTGAGGGCAGCAGATAGTCGGACATTGAGGGCAGCAGATAGTCGGACATTGAGGGCAGCAGATAGTCGGACAGTGAGGGCAGCAGATAGTCGGACATTGAGGGCAGCAGATAGTCGGACATTGAGGGCAGCAGATAGTCGGACATTGAGGGCAGCAGATAGTCGGACATTGAGGGCAGCAGATAGTCGGACATTGAGGGCAGCAGATAGTCGGACATTGAGGGCAGCAGATAGTCGGACATTGAGGGCAGCAGATAGTCGGACATTGAGGGCAGCAGATAGTCGGACATTGAGGGCAGCAGATAGTCGGACATTGAGGGCAGCAGATAGTCGGACAGTGATGGCAGCAGATAGTCGGAAATTGAGGGCAGCAGATAGTTAATGGGGGCATAAGATAGTCAGTGATGGTAGCAGATAGTTAGTGAGGGCAGCAGATAGTCAGTGAGGGCAGCAGATAGTCAGTGAGGGCATAAGATAGTCAGTGAGGGGCCCTCGGATAATCTGAGGGCATCAGAAAGTGGGAAGAGCAGCAGCGAGTCGTTCGAGAAGGGTAGCAGATATTTAGTGAGGGCAGCAGATTGGAGACATTGATGGCATCAGATAAACAGAACCGCATACAGAGAGTAATGGCAGCAGATATTCAGACTACATTGTATGGCATGTCTTTTTATCTTTTATGTTTTAATTTTTTAAAAAAAGTTTATCATACGCTTATGGTATATGTTTGTAAAGGATTTAATTGATCGATACATTTTATTTGAATGCATATAATAAAAGACATCAAAAATATGTACAACAGCGGCATTTCAAAAAATTGTAAAAATTTCAATTTACCATCGAATTAGGTTATCCATCAAACCTCGAACCAATTGGTTAACCCATGCTGTCAACAAGGACAGTTTAGGAAGAGAATGTTAACAAATGAAAATGTTGACATGGTGTTGTGAACTGTGTTAGTGTTAATTTAGTGGTAAGAGAAGATTTGCCACCTCATGTAAAAACCGAACTGTCCATCATCAGTTTAAACTGACCTTCTCAGTCGATGTGATGTTCAGATGTATGTGGTGACCCAAATGGGTGGTGACCATTTTGTGTGTGGTGAGTGACTACATGGTGATCATTTTGTCAGTGGTGACTTGATAAGTAGCGACTCATACGGTTGATAGTGACTAGCTACAAACGTCGAGCCTCGTATTTTTTACGGTGACATCCTTTACGTCAGAACATTTACATCTTTACACAACTTTCTACGTCTATTTTTTTTCACACGTAAACAGGAACAAAATAAATACATGTTGCAGCTCCTTGTTTTAATGTTGTTGCTTTTTTTTTTTTTTTGTTTTTTTTTTTTTTTTGTCTGGAAATAAATTCTGCAGAAGATTATTCACCCATTTCACTTAAAGCACGATCTCTGATTAAATCTGTGGTGACGATCTCATCATTATCGGCACTTCAGTCCATGTGGAGTGCTCGCCCTTGCATTAAGCTGCCAGAGTGCTCGGCCCTTAAGTCCCACAAACTGGCTCATTTTGTTATTTTCACCACCGCCATTATTGGTCCCTAGGGTGGGGGTAACCAGCCTCGTTTTGCCGTGTGAGACCAAATGACCAGTCCGGGGGTGACCGCCTCTCCCGTGGGGGACCCATTTGTATTTAATTATCTTGGCTAATTGCACACTGAAACACACATTAGAATGGAGAAAGCAAAGCACTAACAGCTAGTCGTAGAAATGTTACAGTTGTCATGGGATGGGGCAGAGCTGAGAATAGAAATATTACAAAAAGTAGAAGTAGTAATGGACTGAATTAAATAATAGAAATATTACAAAAAGTAGTAGTAGCGAGGGACGAAGATGAAAATGTAACGTTACAATAAATCATAATAAAAATTTCAGATGTGCGGTAAGAATAACATTTTATTGGTAACTACTGCTCTGTAATTACACAATATCCTGACTTTAACTAGACAAAGTAATTTTATTTCAAAAAAGCATTTTTTGTATTTTTTTAACATTAAAACTTGAATAAGAATTTTTGTTAAACTAAAATGAAAAAAAGTTCATTTAAAAAGTAACTTATCTTGACGCTACTTAGCAGCTTTATTTAGTGCCCCCCACCCTCCCTCACCCCTCCCTGTAAAAATACAAACCAAATTCTAACGCGTTAAGCTGCCCTCACTAGACAGGTGTGCAAAAGATGGTGGTTGTTGGTAAGTTTTGTTGTAGATGTGTTTGTCTGTTGTAGATTTGTGTGTTTGTTGTAGATGTGTGTGTCTGTTGTAATAAGTTTCATCGACTGTCTGTTTCAGACCACGTGACGAGAGACTGCCCATGCTGGGGATGTACGGGACCCCACCTGGTCTAGACCCCAGGATCTCACACAGACCCCAAGATGTGGAGTCAAGTAAGTCTGCTCACCACTACTTTCATGTGTCGTTTTGTATAGCGTCATCACAGCTCTTCTCATATTTACTCACATATGTCCTCAAATATGTCATCATATATTATGTGTCCTCAAATATGGCATCATATATCTCCTTAAATATGTCCTGCTATACTCTCATATATCTCCTCAAATATGTCCTATTATGTCCTCACATATGTCCTCTCATCTGACCTTAGCATTGGATATTTATATGTCCTTATACGGCCCACAACGTTTTGGACATATGTCCTAACCCCTTATATGTCCTCTCACTTGTTCTCACATATGTCCGTACAAATGTCCTTATATGTCCTCTCACTTGTCCTTACATATGTCCTTACAAATGTCCTTATATGTCCTCTCCCTTGTCTTTACATATGTCCTTACAACTGTCCTTATATGTCCTCTCACTTGTCCTCACATGTCCTTACATATGTCCTTACAAATGTCCTTATATGTCCTCTCACTTGTCCTTACATATGTCCTTACAACTGTCCTTATATTTCCTCTCCATTGTCTTTACATATGTCCTTACAACTGTCCTTATATGTCCTCTCACTTTTCCTCAAATGTCCTTACAACTGTCCTTATATGTCCCCAGACAAACCGCTCAATCTGCAAGTAAACGGCCACCACAAAGACAAAGAATCCGAAGCTTCGAGAAGTGACGATGATTTCGATGATGACAAGCTTTCTGAAGACGAAAGGCAGGCAGACGAAGGTAAGATTCAACTTTAACACATTCTGAATATAATATTCTATTTTACCACTTTCTGAATGTAAAATTATATTTTTCCACTTTCTGAATATGAGCCTCTTTTTGTAGCACTTTCTGAAGTAAAATATCTACCTGTTTTATCTACCTCAAGATGGGGGAGGTAACTGTAGATTACCTGGTCTGTAGATGGACCGATCCTTACATCATTAGCAATGTTTCAACTTAAAAACTTCATTTTTTTAAATGCAAAAACTGGATAAAGAATTTAGAATGGATTGAACAATTAGCCTGCATGTTTGTATTGAATGTTCAACTATTTTCTCAATAGCCATCAATCATAAATTATGGATTAGAACTAAAAGTTGTTGTTGTAGTACTTTTGGCTGTTATTGAAGTTCTGGGTCGTGAAAGCCAACATACTTTTAATAACTGTTGTCAAGTGATGACCCTGTCGGACCCATTACATTTGACCCTTGGATATTATTTTTGTTGTTTTAAACTCTAGTAAGCTTTATGGCTGCATCAACGAAAACGCTGGACTTGAGATAAGCGAAAACAGAAAACAGGCAACAACATTACGCCATACGCCATACTCCATACAACAAACAACGTACACTATAAACCATATAACGTACACCATAGATCATACACCATAACCATACACCATACACCATACGACATACAAGAGAAAAAAGTCAAAAATCGAAAACTAAAGATAAAAGTCAAAAGACAACAGACACCATACACCAGACAATATCCATCAGACCTACAGTTGACATATAACAGATAAAAGACAAAAGACAACAGCATACAGATACACCATACAGCATTCAATACACAGCACACAACATGCTCAATGCAACATACATCATGCAAAAAGACACCATTTAACATACAACATACAAAAGACACCATAAACATACAAAAGACAAAAGACCACATACAACATACAACATACAAAAGACAAAAGACACCATACAACATACAGCATATAAAAGACAAAAGACACCATACAACATACAAAAGACACCATACAACATACAACATACAAAAGACACCATACAACATACAACATACAAAAGACACCATACAACATACAACAGCCGAATCTGTTGCCTCCCACGTTATCAAACCCTTCAATCTTTTTGTTGCGTGCTGTTCGTGATGTCGACTAACGTATCACCCATTCAACCGACCACACAGGAAGACCCATAAACCGAAATATCAACCACATTTTAGTAACTTAAACCGAATAGATTTTACATTTTCTAAAATAAAAACCGCAAAACCTTTTAAATTTTCGTTATTTATGCTTTCGTTAGTGGGATAAGGTTTATTTATAAATTTTAATAAAAGCGGATTTATAAACTTCACATTGGACGGTTCGCGTCAGTCCTGAGAAGCGAGACAGTTCGGACAGAAATATTATCTCAGCCTAGCCCAGGAAAAATGTTATCTTAGGGGAAGCAACGCTTCGGGTTAGGTTTTATTCTCATTTAATTCTATTTACATCTTTCTTTGGTTTTACTGCCGAGCTCCTGCGAATGTCGCGCGACGCTGTTCACTAGTGCCTGAATGGGAGACAGTTGGGGCTGCGAGATTAAATTGACGTTGATAGTGCTACATTTTATGGTGGAATTTATTTCTTATTCCTTCAGATAACCTCCCCTTCTCAGTTTAAGGTTACTCCCCTGTACGTTTATGATTGCCTCCCTTTTCGTTTTTCGGTATAAATTATAAACTCACAAATCAGATCCATGCCACCTCGATTCAGGGGTGGCGGTTTTCTTTCTTTTATCACTCTGTCTTACCCCCCCCCCCCCCCCCCGTTTCTCAACCCCCCCCCCCCCCCCACACTTGGTTTGATCACGTGACCCATCCATGTCAAGTAGAAACGAACCATCCAGTGGTTTCGTTTACCTGGGTATTCGTTACTTTGTTGAAATCAGATCTATCATCAACGAGAGGTGGTTCTTAACGAAATGAAAGTGAAAGACGATTTTAGCGGATCTTTCCGTTTGAGTTCAGTTTTCTGTTTTACAATTAATGAAGCCTTCCAGTATACAGAACCCCCGTGAGATGTTATATTAAGACATGAATGGCTCCCTACAACAGAGGGTAGCTGTGGTCATTTGGGTTGTCTTGACTATAGGTTAATATAGACACTTGGGTCAGTTAGACAAGAGGGTCATTTGTTCATCTGGGGCGTCTTGACGATAGGTTAATATAGACACCTGGGTCATTTAGACAAGAGGTTCATTTGTTCATCTGGGGCGTCTTGACGGTGGGTTAATATAGACACCTGGGTCATTTAGACAAGAGGTTCATTTGTTCATCTGGGGCGTCTTGACGATAGGTTAATATAGACACCTGGGTCATTTAGACAAGAGGGTCATTTGTTCATCTGGGGCGTCTTGACGATAGGTTAATATAGACACCTCGGTTATTTAGACAAGAGAGTCATTTGGTCATCTGGGTTAGCTAAACTTTAGGGTAGATATAGACACATGGGTCATTTAGACAAGGTAGGCGTGGACATCTTCTGTGATCTAGACTTTAGGGTAGATATAGACACATGGGTCATTTAGACAAGTTAGTCGTGGACATCTTCTGTGATCTAGACTGTAGGGTTGATATAGACACATGGGTCATTTAGACAAGGTAGGCGTGGACATCTTCTGTCATCTAGACTGTAGGGTAGATATAGACACATGGGTCATTTAGACAAGGTAGGCGTGGACATCTTCTGTGATCTAGACTTTAGGGTAGATATAGACACATGGGTCATTTAGACAAGAAGGTAGGCGTGGACATCTTCTGTCATGTAACTATAAGGTAGATATAGACACATGGGTCATGCAGATTATAGGGTAGAAATGTAGGACTTACCACACAGACATTACGCCGTGGATTGCCGCATCTATTATGAGTTAATGATGTAATAAAATAACAAAGAGGACATTATGCAATGAAAAGGTCACCAGGACCTTGCACAAAGGAAGGACACGAGGACTGTAAAAAGTGCAGCTCAAGTCGATATTTGTTTTATGGTTTGAATTTGAATTTCTGAATAATGAAATCAGAAACTGGTCAAATAAAAAGGAATGTTAATGACGAACACCTTGTCCAGCTGTGATTAGTGCATTGATCGTAATCAGCAGCTGATTGTACAGGCCGCGTGCATGTAGACGTTTAGTGCTGTAAGTGTCATCGTTATTCCTACAGTTATGGGGATGGGGGAGGGGCTCCCTCGTCAGGGGAGGTGGGGGTGGGGGGCCTCCCTCGTCTAGTTAGGGGAGGTGGGGGTGGGGGCTCCCCAGTCAAGTCATAGGGGTGTGGTGGGGTGGGGGTCTCGCTCGTCGTCGTCGGTGGAGGGTGGGGGGACCTCCCTCGTCAAGTCAGTCAATAAAGACCCCTTTTACTTGCAATATGGATATAATAAAAAACCCTTTTACTTGCAATATGAATATTTTGTTTTAGGATTTCAACAACTGGTTCGGTTGGGGGTGGGGGGCAGTCTGAACATCTAATTGGGTGGACGGCCTAGACGGGGTGCTCGTCAGCTGAACCCAGGGGTGAAGTTAACAGGCCCAATCTGGTCCCGGCCGAATACAAATCTGTGTTTATAGTCGCTCGATTCACACTTCCCAAGGGCACGTGGAAACAGGTTGCAAGAACAATTGGCCGTCTGCTCCTGGCAGTATGTCGTCTGCTGTGGATCTTTGCTTTCATAAATTATCTCTCCAATGTGGGCAAAAAAAAGTAGGCCATGGCACATGCTAATTGACAACATATATATATATATATATATATATATATATATATATATATATATATATATATATATATATATATATATATATATATATAATATAATATACATGTGTGTGTATGTGTGTTTCGGTTGATAAGTATGTGTCTGATTGTATAATATGTTTAGATATATAAAAGAAAAGATGGCCAATGAAAACGCAGGATCGAATATGATAATAATAATATTATTATAATACTGTATGCAGATAGATGACGAACTCTTTATGGCTGAAGATCAGAAAACGTAGGACGTAAATCAGCATACAGCGTCTGTGTGTTATATGTGTGTTGATGTCGCCACTTTTTACATCTCTGTTGTCCAATACACGAACCCACGTCAATTTTAAGCGCGGCGTCATTAAAATTAATTACCTCCAATCAACGAATTTATCTTTAGTGTGTGGACGTTAATGAACGTGTTGATTACCTCAAAGAAAAATAATTTTAATACGATTGATTCCACACTTTTTCAGTAGGGTATTCAGTGCATGGGTATATCGTGTTAGTTACTCAATACTATTGTTTGATGGATGTTGGTATTTACTGTAGATTCTAGTTGGTTGTTGAAAGTGCATGAGTCTGTTGTATGGGGCACTGAGTGCATTCCTCTGTTGTATGCGTTACTATGTGCACTTGCCTTTGTATGGGGTACTCTCAGTGCCCTTGTTTGTTGTATGAGGTACTGATTTCATTTTTCTTTTGTATGAAGCACTCAGTTTGTCTCAATGCACTTAGGTAAAGTACTAGTTGTTCGGTGCATATTCAGATCTCCCAAAATTTACCACTCACCTACTACCTCATCTACCCACAAGATTAACAGTCACAACCTCAGCTACCCAGGGGTCGGCGTGGTCGAGTCGGTAAAGCTCATGGCCACTAAACCGAAAAGTCTCGAGTTCGAACCCTCGGGCAGAATAGGCTCGTTAGCTGGGGACAGCCACTCTTCTAGGAGAGACAACTCCAAAATCAAACAACTGCTGCCTTGTAGTTTGTTCTTGGTTGGACAAAGGCTATGAAAGCAAATCCAAAAATAAAAGCTGGCTGAAATCGGAGTCAATGGCCTCAATGGCGCATAACCAGTTGACACATATACTTCATTGTGTTAGAGGGGATCCCTTCCAATACTAAAATTAAGAACGAAGAAGAAAAAGTAGCTACCCACAAGATTAACACTTGCCCACATATATACA